AGTATATTATAAAAATCATCACATTACTCATTCATTATTACCAGTACTTCCGCTATAATATATCAAAATCAGAACAGTTCATCATAAGTTCCGATTCTGAAAATCCCTGAACAAAAATGATTCAATTAAAATTGTGTTTCTTCTTACATGTGACTGAATAATGTTCCCATCAGAACACACTCTTCTGTTCCTTATTAACTTTTTTGCAAGACCGATAATTGCGAACAGTCATGGCAGCATGCACACCTACAGGGAGACACACACCTTGATTTGGGCCGCTGTGACCTCAGCTAGTCTGAGAAGATGAGCAGGAACCCCACACAGGCTAGATAGTGCACTTTTCACGCTGCTGTACTTCTCATCCATGTTCAGCCTTAGGCCATACTTTACAGGAACAGAACCATCCAACCGGATAACTGTTATGAGATGTTATAAGTTCAATTATTACAATAAAATATATAATATCATACAGCAACTACCCATCTACTGGTAACAAAGACTGGGCGATTAACTTTTGGTGTATTTAATGACATTCTTTCAATTTCAAAGGTTATACTGTATCAAATTATGGGAAGATGATTTTAAGGTATCACAGGAGTCACAAAGCACTGACCTAAATTTCTTTTCCCCAGCAGAAAATCAATGAAAAGAGCTGAAATTCCATGTACATTATTTCTTGATCTTCCCATACTGTACAGTAAATTTTCAGAATTTTCTACCAAATGTCACCTGTGCGGTAAATTTTCAAAATGTCGCCTGATAGCAAAGTTTGTCATAAACACTCATCACATAGTTCTTAATATATGAGAAGCAACCAGCAAGGAATACTCACAAACATCTGAAAATAGTTTACAGAGAAGCCACTGTCACACAAGCATAACTGCATGCTTGGTGAAATGTGTGATGGAGAAATCCAGCCTATATTGTGAGCCATGTAGTGGCTGCCCAACCTCAGCTTTGATATCTGGATAATTCTGTGTGATATTATGGAGAAAAGAACCACCACCAATTCTGAGACATACATCGATACTCTACAGAGACTCAAGAGCCAAATGCAGCAAGTTTAATCTGAAAAGATGGGGGGAAATAACACAAAACTGCATACTAGTTTGTGAACAACAGAAGCCATTATAAAACAGCACTGGACTGTGTTTCCCCATCCACCACGCAACATGGATTTTGTCCCATCAGACAAAATCTTTTCCGTTCACTGAAGAATGCCCTTCATGGATGAAAGTTGGAGGATGATGATGAGACTGGTGCAAAAATGACAACATGACCTTACGGAATTCCTGCCAACAAGAAATACAAACCCTTCTTTCCAGGTGGCATAAGACCACAGAATTCAATGGAGATCAAGCAGAAAAACAGCATTTACAAATAACTAAGTATCTGTGCACAAAATTTCATCTCTTTTCATTATTCTCTGTTGAATAAAGACAGAGAAAAACAGAAATTTAATAACTATGAATATGAACTGTTTAGGCAAATGCAAAAAGCCATATTCTGTATATTTACTGCATTCACCCAACTATAATATGGCTTCATATACATGATCAACCCTTCTTCCAGTGATAAATCATAAGGTGTATTTTACCGTTTGTTCCCATAACATTATGAGACACAATTTTACAGCACAAGCATAAAAAAATTAAAAAACAAAGGACCATATAAATTTTGTATTCATATGTTGGAAAATGTAACAAAGACATTTTTACATAAATATGACAGTCATTAAATATGTAAACTGTACTGACAGACACAATTGCTAGTTGTCTCTTTTTCACATGAACAGTCCGTTTACATTTTTAACACTTTTTTATGTTCATAAATACATGACAACACCCTATTTTTAACAGATATAAAATGTTCTCATGAAATGGCATATAAAAATGATCAAAGGCGAAGAAACCTTACCAATAACCTGAACATGGACATAGCTCTCCATAGGTAAAGGTAGAGACAGGTAGTTGAATGGGTCAAACCGGACACTTTCATGTCCGCACACTTTGCATGTCACTTTGGACTTGAGCTGGCCATGAAACAAATCCACTATGATGGATTTGTTGCGAAGAATGTGATTCTCCCAAGCCTAGACAGGGGGGGGAAAAAAACATACTTGAGAAATATTTATGTCAAGTCTTGTCAATTTGTCAATTTTCATTTAGACTGGGCAACTTTAATAATCAGTTTACATGAGGACCTACCTGCATTTCTGCATATATCTCAAATGTAATTCTCAAAAAACGCTTTAAACAAAAGTTGCACAGAAGAAGGAACACACATTTTACCTTCCATAGACTTCCTCCTTGAGTCTTACATTTCTCAACATAATTAAACAAACTGGACACTATGCATAAATTTCTAAATTTAAAAAATCACTATGGTCTCCAGATCACACATGAAGATTCCTACTTAACTAGACATGTTTTTCAATTATATGTGTTTTACCAGCTTCATTAACATGAATAATTGAAGTGTACTGTAATTAAATACATTCAAAACAACTTGTGATTTTTTGCTTCTAATCACTTGTACATCTGTATGGTGTAAAGATTATTAATTAGCCATTCTCTTGCAACACACACTTCATATCTTCATAACAAAATAGAAAAACTAAAACTGTTGAAGCTTCCTACACCAAATGCATAACAAAATGGGGCAGCAAATGGAAGACCTTACATTATAAAGCAGGACAATAACAATTTAAGAGAATAACATATTCCTAAAACAATTAAACTTACACTGAAACACACATCATTAAAACAAATGTGGTCTGGTAAAACCTCCTACAGTAAAACATGAACTTCTTTCATCACCATTATGTAGAAGAAATGTGTCCATACTACAGCCCAGGACAAGAACACAGAAACAGAAAAACTGATCTTGTATGGGTAACACTCTTCAAAGTAAAAGTTTTCAGTCAGCCTCCTCCGTTCCTAACATTCAGTGTGCCAGTCTAATTATGCCTCCATTACTTTTCCCTATCCACCACTATACCAAGGTTATCTTGGCAGCAGGCAGTATTTCCATCAACTCTAACCAATCTATGCATTGTTCATATGTACATTATCAATATGCCCTGATTTTTTTCTAACATCTGAATAGCAGTTACTCACCTCTTGTGCAACAATGACATCAGGACGGCCATCACTGTCCTTAAGTTCAACATATGGTTTGTCATGTACTCTGTTCAAGTCCTCGTGTAAGCCGTCCAAAAGAAATGCAAGAAGCTCTTGTGAGTCATGCTGCTGGAAACCATTAAACCTAGGAGCATATTTTCCTATTGTCCACTGCAACAAGAACCAAAGGGACAGAATATATATTCGTGTGTTTGTGTGTTCATGCATGTGTCCATGCCCTCGCACACACAGTCACCAAGCCAACCAGAAAATTATGGTTGGCAATTGATTTCCCATGTGGTGGCTGGAAGTTGGCTTCTGGAGTTCTAGCAACCTTAATTGGTCACTCATGGCACAGATATAGAGGTGAACCACGTCTAAAGAAGTTAAATACTGAGTGGACACAGAAGCATGGCAACTTCCCTGAAAATGCTGATCCATCTCTTTCTGGCAACCAAGCTATTTGTCTGCCTACCAGATGTTCAACAACTGTTCAATACCTGTACATTAAATTATACTTTTAACCCTTTCCAGTCGTTGAGAAATTTCCACAGCCAGGGCATCAAAGGTTTTTAAATGCCTGCCGAACCATTAGGTGATCGGTTTTGCACTGTAATAACAAAAGGAACTCTCAGATCATTCTACAGTAGGATCACTATGAACAACAAGGATGATGCACAAATCATCCTCAATCATTAAACAATAATGTGAAAATGTGAAAGTTAAGTATTTACCTTAAGGTAAGAGAAAACATTCGCCTGAAAAAAACATTCAAACAATTATGTAACTGTGCAATTAAGAAATAAATTTCATAGTAATAACAGTAATTGTCACCTTCCAGACTGCCTTACCCTGAGTTTTAATGGCGCTATAGTCTTAGCAGTGCCACTCCAAATATCTTGTATAAGATCACCATATCGTTTAGCAATATGTCCCTTCATTCCCAGTGGGTTATTCCTATTCAGTTCATAAAGGTGCATGTTGCCTGTGAAGTACTGCGTGAGAGCACACGTATTGCTCACACACTGCAGTGCTGCGTTCATGAAGCATGTATTACCCAGATTGTTAAGACCAGTAGCTCCCTTTTCTGTAGGCACTGCAAACAAATGACAGTGGTTACGAGTGACATTGTCATGACATTAACAATGAGGGATAAGCAAAGGTCCAGAAAACTAATGAACCATATTTCATACAGAAGTTAATAAAATTCATAAAATATAATACTTTATTTCACTGCACAACTCATTCATGTTTTTCCCCAAATTCTCTGATCAAAAACTTTGATGCATTACTTACACTAAGGTTTATGAAAATGGTCCATCATGGAAAATATTACTGTCTACTTGACCTATCCACAAAGATGGAATGTTTCCTCTGGAAAACTACGCAGACCATATGTTGGAATAAAAGCTTTTCCTGTACAGTGGAATCCCCATCTTTGACTTAGCAGTTTCCCTTGTGTAACATTAATTTTCAATGATTCCAAATCACAATCTCTGTGTTAAATTGACTCTATTAAGATTTTCCTTAGTTTAGTGTTGCATATTCACAGCTATCAAAAAAAAAAATCTGAAATGGAAATTTCATTGTATTTATTACCTTTTAAGTGTGGGACATTTAAACCCTTGTCTGGCACATGAATGGAATTAAAAGTGGCAGTTTTAACTTATAACTGCACCAGACTAAAAAAAATACATATATCGCTTATATTTATTTATACATCCCAATTAAACAGCTGCTCCCTAAATTTCAGATGGGTCATATTTACCCCACAAGGCTTGCACAGAATGTATGAATTCAGAATGGTTAGGTCCAACAACTGGAAGACACATTTTTCATCCATTTCTGGGTTTTCTTGATAATGCTGTATATGTTCACCATCCTATCACTCAAGTCAGTATAACACATATGTGTTCTACAGTCTTCAATAATCAGAAGCTTCATAGCTTCCCCACCTTCCTTGAAGTTACCTTCTGCAGGTAGAATGTGCATATCGATGAGGTCATAAACTTCTTGTCTGGCGGCACCTCTTTAATCTTGTGATGAACTGTACCGAATGCATTTACTTTCTTGTTGTGTACATCACTGAAAAGTTTAGATGAGGTGAAATAATTGCCTGTGAATATTTTGAGTCCAGCTCCTTTAACTTCCCAAACCAGTTCTAGTAGTGCTCCTTGTGTGGGTCTAACATCTGTGCTAGCCATGTTTCTTTGTTTTTCCAGGTACATCTTCATGTAATATGTGTAACCACATCTACCACAAAGTATAAATTTTTATACAAAATCTCTTTATTTATTTTTTTTTAGAATGTACTGCTGAAAGACAACTTTCCCTTTGAATTTTACAATTACTTCATCCACTGCCATATGTTCTGTTGGATGACACAGTTCTGAAAATTCAGAATTTAGAATGTCAAATATTTGTCTGACCTTCCATAATCTGTTGCAAATTGGGATCAACTCTGTCTTGAGTTGGTGGATTCTGACTGTCCGCAATATGCAGCTGTTTCAGAATCATGCAGAATGATCATACGGCATCACACCGGAGCACAAAGGAACATGATACAGTTCATCTTTGGTCCAGCATTGCTTCCTACTGGGCTTGCGTTCATGACCCATCTGAACTATAAATGTGCAGATACTTTATACTTTTTTGCTAAGAATATGCCATATCTGGTTTATTTCTTGCTTGTGCATCCTGTTGCATATATTGGTTGGTCTCTGGTACAATTACTGCCAGGATGGTCTGAAAATACAGGAAAAAGAACTTGTGAGGTTGTGAATTTTCAGTAATATTGGGAAGTTGTTTTGTTCAGCAAACACTGTTCTCTCACAAATTGCTGCACATCTACCTTATCAGAGGGAAGATGGTGGCGCCACTCTAAATCTTCATCACTTTCTTCAGCAGATGATGGATGCTGATGTGTGGTATCTTCGAGCTCTTCTTCTGAGTCAATGTCAGCATACTGCTATTCAAGATCTTGCACACATGCTAAAATGACTAACAGATGCGCGTTTAAAAGGTCCTACCATTCTGATTGCAGATCACTGGTCTACTGAACGCATTTTAGTGTGATAACAGACAGAAGCATAAGGAGGAACTGAATCCGTTACTGAACACTAGTATATCTTATTTAGTAGCAACACTATCCTACCTTCACTTTTTCTTCCCTGTTTGTAAAACTGCTTAACATGACCGAAGGAAATTACAGACACGTGATAACAATCTGCCATTGACAACAATGACATAAATCCAATAATATAAATTTTAATTCTCTCTCAAATATTTTACCTCTCCCACATACATTTATCAGGTGTGAAGAGCAATCCTACTGTTATAGATGCTGAAAAGAGAATGACAAACAAAACGTATCTGCAGTCTGAGTTCACAGTGTCAGCAAACTCTTGTATCTGATTAGAATAGCTGTATGCACAAAAAACAAATTTCATGCATGGACTGTCTATATAAAGATAATGTTGAAACCCACGTTTTGTTTGGGCTAAGCACATAAACAGAGTAACAGGAGGACTCCTCAAAAAGACGCAGGATGTCAACATACTGGACATTCTGCTGCTTGCCAAGTCACTCAGGTGCTGATATACTGGACATTCATCCTTTATAGCAAAATTTCATCTTTGCAACCTACCCATCACATTTTCTTCTTGTCTTGCGTCTTGCATTTGCAAGGCTGCATGGGTACCTTGCAGATCATGTGGCATACAGCAATGACAGAATGTCTCTTGTTCAACGATACTGAACACAATGTCATCTCACCATCTGGAGGATGTATATCAAATGCTATTCCTTTCAGACTTTCATAGCAACACTTTCTGCTGCTGTTTTCATAAGAATTCAATTTGAAAAATATATAGATATTGTTTTTCCTTAACTTCAGAATAATAAATTACACTGCATGAATTATACAGTTACAAATGGTATACAAGCTGACTGTAGAACTAATGACTCCCACCCTGGAAAAATATACTGCTATGGAACCAAGACCCACACACAGTTGTAGCACCAGTAAAGAAGACACATACAACCACATGGCTTATATCTGTGGAAAATGTTAATTACTTGAAAGATGCTGATTATATTCTCACCATCCCCAAGTACATAACTGTGAACACAGGAACAATACTTCTTCTACTGAACTAAGTGCTTTTACTTCAGTAAAATTATCTCGCAGAATCCTCTCCACAGGAAATGTCTACTTACCCTGCTTACGTTTATCCTGCATTGGTATGGCAAGTGATCCCATCTCCTCTGGCCATGTGAGATCTTTGTTTCGAACCTCTATGAGAAGTTGGTCTTCATCTAAAACACCAAGGTCCTCCAGTGTTGGCTCCTCATCCTCTATCAGCAACATGTTGTTCTAAGGACATGAATTAAAATTAATATAATTTTTTCTCTCAACATAACTAGTATCAGTATAGTGCCTTAGTATTATGAATATTATGCTGTCACATGCATGAAATGACTGTGGATGGGTTTTGTATTGGTGATTGGATTTACTGACCACTTACATATGGTAACTACAAGTAATTATAACGCTCTTGCCAATTCATGCAATCATCTTCTCACCATAACACATACTAAGTCCTCTCAATTTGTTTTCACTAGCCGTAAGAGATCCTAACAGTGTCCTCTGCTTACATACTTACTGGCTAGTGAATATCTCAAAACTGACTTCCAGGCTGGCTGCCATCTCGCACCAACCTCTTACTCTTCTGACTGACTCCAACTCAACTAACTGCAGCTTCTAAAGTGTCCCACTCATAATATCTTGGTATGGACTGCATAGAAAACACAATTACTCATTGCAGTTCAACTGCTGCCATGGGAACATGTCTGTTTGTGAAGCTGTTACTCAGTAATGTCTCTTGTACAAGGGTTGGATAAAAAGTAGTGGCAACACTGCTGTAACATGAAAGATGTGCGTCAGGTGGCACTAGCGCTGTCTGCAGCTGACAGCAGAAGTTCAGTTGAAGTAGTGCAGTGAGTGGCTCTGTTTGTGTTTCATTGAGTTGCATTGTGCATCGTCTTGAAGTGCAGGAGCCCAGTTCAAGCACCATGAGAACATGTTTATGAAACAAGAACAACACTCCTGGATAACAATTGAAGTTGCACGAGGTTGTACAAAACTGTTATCAGGGATTGCGAAAAGCATGTGGTGATACTGCTTTGCCATATCGCACAGTGGCACAATGGGTGAAATTGTTTCATGAAGAGGGATGCCATTCAGGACGACCCCATGTTGGCAACCACACAATTCAGATTCTTGCTTTCTTGCTGGATGTCGATTGTCAATGGGCTGCATGGGAGTTAGCTGCTGAGGCAGGCGTATGTCACAAAACCATGCTCCACATTCTGTACGATATTCTTGGATACCACAAAATTGCAGCGTGTTGGGTACCCCATACAATGTCCGAGGTCCAACAATGGCAACATTATGCAATTGCAGAGGACTTCTTGGACCAGTACCAGAAGGAAGGTGATGACTTCCTTGGAAGGATCGTCACTCTGGACGAAACTTGGGCTCACTCATACGAACCTCACTTGAAGTGACAATCAAATGAATGGAAGCATCCTGGCTCTCCTCGTCCAAAGAAAGTGCGCCCTACACAGAGTAATGTGAAGGCAATGCTCATTGTGGCATATGACATTCATGGAGTGATATTGCACCACACTGTACATCAATGACAGACAGTAAACACTGCCTACTACTGCAATTTCCTGCATAATCATCTTCGTCCAGCACTGAGGACAAAGCGAGGACACTTGTTGGAAACAAACCCCATCATCCTTCATGACAATGCAAGGGCTCATACTGCTGACGCCATCAAGGATCTCCTTCGCTGCTGGCGATGGGAGATACGGCAACATCTGCCATACTCACCCGATATGATTCTGTGCGATTATGATATCTTTGCCAAATTGAAAGAACCACTGCGAGGGTTACGTTACAACATAAGAGAGGAGATTATTCGTGCTGTAGGGCGGTCACTCCTGGACATCAACAGAAGTGGACGCACTGATGGTGTACAACGCTTTCCACAAATTTGGCAGAAGGTGGTACATATGGGGGGTGATTATATTGAAGGAATGTAAGTGTGTTTACCTTGGATAATAAAGTCATTTCAGAACTATAGAGGCGTTGCCACTACTTTTTATCCAACCTATGTATATTTGCTTATCTCGCAGTCACTGCCCAGCAATGGCTCTACATGATACAATCTGGACTGCAGTATTTTAACAATGCAAAATTAATGTAATAATGTGGCATGCAGAACCCTTGCTAAGCAACGACCATGAAACAAGCACCTATACAAAAGCCGCTGTTAAGTAATGGTTCCGCAAGCAATGATGTTTCCACAGGAACAAGATAACACAACAATAATAAAAGAGACATTTTCTATGCGGTCCGTACCGAGGCATTATAATCCAGACCAGTCAGCAATTGCAGTTAGAGGACTGTTCAGTTCAGCTGTTGTGAGCTGTTGCTGTTAGAAGTTGGTAGCTGAGGCCGGGGACAGTTTGGGTACCCAGACATAAGCGAACATCTGTTGCTGCAAGCCACTACCAAGCAATGGTAGTGAAGATATGTCTGTGGATACTATTGTGCGTGTGCATGTGTGTAATAGTGAACTGTAAAGTGTAGTCATGCGTTTCTTTAAAGGTTGCAATAAATCACGTCATCAACCCAAAACCAATCTATAGTCATAGCCATATATGCGACAGTAGTCTTCTAATTGTGATATTCAGATATACATATACAGATTTAATTTTAGGTTTGTTTTCATAAGAAAAAACAGACTTCTATATTAAATATGCTGCTAATGAGTAAAAGCATGAACAAATTATTCACTTCCTCACTCACTCGTGGCGCTGAGCCCTTCTTGAGAAGCCACCAACTGTGCAGCTACTCAAGAACTTCCCAGCATTTTATGGAACCCGAAGGTTCATTATTGTGTTCACAAGAGCCCTCCATTGGTCCCTATCCTGAGCCACATCAATCCAATCCATACCATCCCATCCTATCTCTCTAAGATCCATTTTAATATTGTCAACCCACCTATCTCCTGCTCTTTCCTCTAAACACTGGTATATGAATTTCATGCCATCTGCTGACAGAAATGCTATACTAAGTGGTTAATAATGAGTCTGTCTCTTTGGTGGTGAAGATTTCGATGCATGTATACCGAGCTGATTTCATTGGCTCTTAGAGTGGAAAGGGTTACACTGACACTCTGTTAATTTACTAAACTGACCTCATCTCGGTAATGCCAAAGTCTCATGTCTTCTGGCCGAATCCTCAAGCGAGAACATAAAAAATCATACACCTGCTTAACTGTTGCCATGCGACTGAATGCAGCCACATAAGCTAGGTAACGTTTTGGAGGTGTTGGTAGGTTTGACACATACGCATAGCCTGTTGTGCCTGAAACAAACAGAGGATTCAATACAATGAATAAACTTGGTTCAATTTCACAGTTATATCTATGAAATTCAAGCTTCAGACCTTACAAACTTTAGCAAACTGCACCAATTATTATTCCTTATACTGTCTAAGTTCACATCCGAATACACATGCAGAGCCCTTGTTGCAAAACTGTGAGCTAAAAGTTTGAGCACCTAATTAGTAGACAAAATTTTGTTCACCTCAATACTTTCTGTCCCCTAAAGCTCCAGCTATAGAAGTCTGCAATAGGGATCACGATGTCAATTTCTGAGTGTTTATGCTTCTTTCTGACCATATGTAGTGAAGTGGTTTATACGTTCATGACTTACTGAGGGCAGCTGCTCCATATCCTCCTACCATTCCAGACCATGTTGTCTGTGGAGCTCGGACAGGCTGAGCTTGGTGCCGAAGCAAACGAAGATTCAACGGATATAACTCTAGCTCCAACTGTTGACTGTTCTTGGGAATTATAACCTACAATATAAGACCATAATCAAAAACTCTGATCTATTTATGAATCATAATAAAACTTGATTATGATTTTATGTCATTAGCCATATTTCAGAAGTTTCAGCTATGAAACAGAAAATGGAAAAACTATTGTAACATGATGCCTGAAAGGCAGGCTAGCAGGGCCAGAAGAGATGGCTGTTGCTATGTAATGGCACAGTACACATGTTTATGTGGCAACAACAGAAGAATTGTCAGAAGCAGTGTTTACTGTATAGTATGTGCCAAGACTACATAATGAGGACCAGAGTGAGTAGTTGAAGTTGGTGGTCAGCCATGAGCACAGAAGCAGAGGAATCTCCACTGTTAGGAGCCACTATCAAGCAAAGACTAGTGAAGGCATTACAGAGTCTGAAGACTTTAGCGTGGCTACAGTAATTTGTAGCATGTGTAGTTAGTGTTACAATAATTTGTAGTCATAAGCGCTCAATAAATTCAATGCATCTCCACAATTAACAGCACAGGTACACATATATGGATATCTGGTATAACTTCACTGTATTGTGACATGATGACTAAAAAGCGGAGCAGTGAAGCAAGAAAAGGCGGCCACTGCTAGGCAACAACCCAGTAAACATGCTCCTGCAGGAACAAATACACACACAACAGAAGAACCATGGAAAGTTGTGTTATCTATGTGGTCCATGCCAAGGCTATACAACAAGGACCACAGGTGGGTCAGTGGGCAGTCAGTGGTAAGCAGTTAGTTGTGAGTGTGTAGTCACAGTTGGTGGCTGGCCATAAGCAAGGAAGCAGAGGTATCTCCACTGTTAGATTCCACTACCAAACAATAACCGCTGAAGAGGGAACGAAACTGAGAACACTTAGTGTGTGCTATAATGATATGCAGACTTTGTAGATCAGTAACAGTATTATAGTTTTTATAACTATGAGTCATAAGCATTCAGTAAATTCAATATCACTCCAAACCCTGTGTCTAGTCACCAACATGTGGTAGTACTGCATAGCGAGATGTGACTTTTAGAAAGTGATCCGATGAGAACAAAAGTCCCCATTAACATTCTAATGTATTTTCAGGAATAGCAAAAATCTTCACTTATATATTTGTAAGTATTCATGTGGCATATTAAGACTATGATGCACTGCATACATGGTTCTGGTGAGGGAAGCAAGAAATGAATACATAATTTCACTGTGGAAGTCTGTAAAGCAACTACTTGTAAGAATGGAACAGATATGCAGAGAAAACATCAAAATTGAAATCCTGGACCCTGGTTATGATAAACTGAAACAGACTGAGTGACTGACTGCTTTCTTCAGAACAATGTCAGAAGTTGCATTTTATAGTTGTGTAGAAATGTAGGGTTCTAGTAATGGAGTTATTTAACACACAAGTATAACCAATGAATTACAGAATCTTTCAAGATACCAAATAAAGCTCACTATCAATTTACAATTCTTGAACGAAACTTAACTGACAAGACTCACACACCTGTCTAGGCAAAGCAGGAGCACCTCCATACCACTGGAAAAGAGCTTTCCACAGTGAGTCAGGTACCAACTCAAAGTCTCGCCATCTCACTAGCATCAGGTTTCGCTTCAGTTTCCCTCCCTCACCTGTGAGTGTCACCACTTTGCAAGCAGGGGTTGCAACCAGAACTGTATTATCTATAGGACCTGGTGCTGGGGGAGGGCCCACTGAGTAACTTGGCATGGCCTTCCTTGGCTGCCGTGGGGAATGGCTGGGACTTGATGTGACACTAGGAGACCTGAAATATTGAATATACAACAGAAAGCTGCACATGACTACTGATTAAACAAATATGCAAGCTGTAAATTGTAACATATTCACGCCCTTATCTTCCAACTGACAAAGACAAGACACATTTCTTAAAACTTACAAACATGTGAAGAAATAAGCTGATGGTCGTTGTTATACATAGACAGAGTGCAACTGAAAGGTTAGGAAAAACTTTGAGCATGAGTTCCAAGAACCAAAAGAAAAATATATCCTCATCAATATGTGTCTGGAAACATTTAATTTGTGAGTTCTAGCTGAAAGAGTACATTTTTGGTAAGTGCTCAAAACGTCCTCCGTGATATTCAATGCACACCTTGATATGTCTCATCATGGACTGCCACATTCGTTCAAAGATACCAGGGTAGTTGTAGATAGTCCTGACAGGCATCCACAATGTGATTATGAACTGCCTCTAAGTAGTCAACAGAAGCTGCATACACAAGGGTTTTTATATGTCCCCACAGGTAAAAACCAGAGGATTCAAAACTAGTGGGCATGATGGCATGCAGTAGGCCCTTCTCTACTTATTCATTGGTCATGACAGGTGTTATTGAGTATACCTTGAATAGAATGGCCAAGATATGCCAGAGCATCAACATGCATTCTTTCAGCTTTAACTCAAAAAATAAGTTTGCAGACACATGTTGATAATGACATCTTTTCTTGTTTTGGTATGCGGATCTTGTGCACAAAGTTTCTCCACAGCTGGTCATAACAGGTGTTATTGAGGACATCTTGCAATGTGCCAAAGCATCATCATTTCAGCTTCAACTCACAAATTGTTTCTAGACACGTCAATACGGAAATTTTCTTTTTCTTATTTTGGTATATAAATCTCATGCCCAAAGTTTCTCCACACCTTTCAGTTACACCTTGTATATGAACTCGTCACTTAAGATTACCTAGAACAATCCTGGGTGCCCAAAAGACTCAATGAGCTGGAACTGGCTTTCTTTGGACTTGCCCCGAGGGCACGCTGTTGCCAACCAAGTGCATCCCATGGCACTGCACTGTCAAGTGGATTTATGCCTGTTACCACCACAGAACTATTATTGTCTAGGGCAACACAGTCTTCTACAAGGGAGCACTGCTGCTGCATTCGTTTTCCTGACAGACGGCCAGTGCGCTTCAAGCTACCTGTATTGCTTCCTGGGACGCTTCCATTTGTTGAGTTGCTCACTGGACTCTCACTGCCAGCCTACACAAGAACATTAAGCTTAAGTATGGTACTTGGGTTTATCAAGCAGTTATGCCACAGGAAAACATTAATCTTTGGTTCATTTCTTATTTTAAGATTCTAAAAGGATTTCTAATCTGACTTTCCAATAAATATATTTTTAAAACGTGTGAAAAAAATACAAACCACAGAATCCAGCTATGCAAAGATCTTGGAATTCACTTCCAAACCTATTATGATCACAGAAAAGATTCTTGATCTGAAAGTTCCGAGTAATATTAATAATAATAACATATTTGGAAATCTTTCACCCCCACTAAGCAATTTACATTAACTTAAGCTGAAAATAATTTAAACAGAAATATATTAAAACCTGTTTCCCATTAAAATTTACAAAATAAAACAGCTTATACTGTAAGGGAGGGATGTCATTAGGTGCCTTATCAAAAGATCNTCCACTTAATGCGATCTAGAGCTTTCTCCTTCAAATGACAGTATCCTCTTCTGTCTCCAAGGTCATCCAGCATCTTCTTACGTCTTCTTGTCACTTCTATCCGCCCTCTATCTTTCCTTCAATAATGATTACCAGGAATTAATTAAATAATTTTCCTGGGGAGTAAAGCGCGGCCGGCGCGTAAGGCTGACAACCTTACCACCATCTTTGAGTTGATTGTCTAGATAGTGTGGGACCCTTGTCTCACAACCCTATGGGCCTTCACGGCCTGGTACAGGGATAGCTTTACTTTTTTACTTTTTACTTTTACAGCGTTATGTAACAACTAGTATCATGGCAAAAATTTCCAGATTGTGTTATACGGAATCCTAGGATGGGTGAGGCATGTTATTTTTCAGTGTGGAATGACAAAACTTATTGTGCGTCCCACATGACATTCCTACAAAATGAGCTAAGTACCTTGCTAAATGAGCTCCATTCTGCTTCACATGCCTTTTTTACACAGGTTTTCATTCTGATGTGAGGTTCAGTCAATATCTTTCAAGGTTTGAGAAACAATACAGGACTCGTGCTCACCCTGTAAGTGACATAATCGGTCCAGCTTTTCCACCAGTCAATAGCAATCAGATACCAGAACTGACCAACTCTGTATCCACGACGTTCCTCCCTTTCCAGCCATCCTCTCACAATGTCTCCCTCTTCCTCTCGTGATACTGGCCGTAGGCCAAGAACAATGTGACATACCTGCAACAGAATGTAGTGTGACGAATATGAACATTACTAGGCAACGCTTCGATAAACACTGCCTGAAAGCTGGAATAACAACAAAAAGTGGTGGAAGCCCATGTGCTAGTCAACACTTCGGTAAATACATTCTCGAGGTTACGCAGTCAACAGTGGGACCCCAAACACAGATTCCCATGGCAACAGATAAGACAGAATAACAGAGGAACCGTTTGAAACGGTGACCTATATTTGGGCCATATATAAGTTATAAAACAGTAGTAATTCATTCTAAGGGAGTTCAATGTGTGAGCAGTGATTTGTCGTTTGTCATTCATTGCAGTAGACGAGAAGACACTCATAATAGTCTAGTAAGGAATGGAGTGAATCTTAGACAGTCACTGAATGTGAGCTGTCATAGTGATTGTAATTGTAATGGAAGTGCCAATAGCATTTATATAGCACCAGTGTGTGCATGTGTGCGCATGCATGCACATCAATATGTGTATTTGTGTAGAAGTACGGGGAGATATGGTCCCTTGCTGCTGTAGATGAGAGACAAGTATGGAGTATTGGTAGAATGATTAACTGGCAGGCTAAAACTTTAGTGCTCAGAGGAAAATGTGCCCTGGTCCACTCTCTTCACCACAAATCCCACATGGATGACCCTGGAACTGAGAAAGGATCTTTGTACATATCATCTTACACCTCACATTTGTTGTAAAAGATATGGATATATTGCAGAGGCTTGAATATGGTTATATACAAATGTGGCAGAAAACAGCATAAACCTGGGGCACCTACCCTGGTCAAAAGATCCAGGGAATAGGTCACTTCATCAAGGAAACAATAAAGGTTGAGCTCCATACTAACAACATAAACAGGGTAGATGGTTACTCCCTCAGTGAGTCACAGGAGCCCCTAATTCACAAGGTGAAGAGAATTATGAAGTTTCTGTATATGGAGAAGACACACCTCTTGATTTGATTGCCTTATGAAGTGGCCCTGGAAAGAACATCCTTTTATGGACCTTAAAAGGGGCTTTCCTCTTTCCCATTCTCATGACCTAAGAAAGTCTCTGTCACCAAGGCTCTGAATGGTTGATCTCCTTGTGCTCTTTGGATTGATCCATGACAATTTTCCTATAAAATGAATCCGCACCCTACACCTATTCACTTTGACTCTGAAGATGGAAGCAGCCAGGTTCCACCAAGATACTTGCATCCATCTTCAAGACTATACAATGTCACAACCCAGAAGACCAGAATCTTATCCCTCATCACTGTTAAAACCTCAATTTTTACAATAATTCAAGGTTCACAAAATGGGCCAATCTATTAATCTGACTGAGATTAGGCACTTCACATAGAACACAAGTTGGTGCAGCAAACTTAGTCATTATGCATGTAACAGAAATAGAAACATGAGAAAACCATTAGCAGAATAATGGTCAATAACAACTTAAATGTAATATATGACAGTGACTTCATGAAAGCAGACAAGTTAATTAATTTTACTGGTAATTAAATACATGTAACTAACAGAATATGACACCAAAATTTCATTTATTTTGTTAAATCAAGGCCAACTTGAAAGTGTTTTGTTGTTCATAATTCTTCATAATTGAGACGTCATAAGCCTATATACGTATAAAAGAAATGTCACCTGGACCACACAAACATTTCAATTAAAACAGTTTCCTGTTTTGAAAGAGTTCAATCAGGTACAACTTTTATGGCATGAACCATGATACATACATAAAAATTACTTAATAAGATGTCATGTAAGATGTAAGTTACTGCATAAATAAGGTAATGGCCACTGCTGTTTTGAAATAGCAAGTGTATACACTTACTTGGAATAAGAGATTCAGAAAGTCCATTGGTAGAGGATTATTCACTGTCCACATAAGATATTCCTCAGTTGTCAGTCCATCACCACTAGCATGCTTCCGGATGTCAGCCAAGATTGCTGCTGTGTCTGTTTGGAAGGGTAATACACACATGTACATATGAAAACTGTAATATGTAAATACTTGTACTGTTATCGGAACCTGAAGGGAAAGCACCATTTAAGAGAACTAGGAATGGATGGGGAAATAATAAGACACAGGGTGAGGGTTTAGACTGGATTCATCTGACCCAGGTAAGGTTCATTTAAAGGCCCTTGTGAAAATGGTAAAGAACATTCAGGGTCCATAGAAAGCAGGAAACACTTTCACTAGCTAAGTGACTACTGGCTTCTCAAGGCCTCCGCTCCATGAAGCTGGTTAGTGGGCTACTCGGTCAGCCAGCAGACCACAGAAATCTCTTAATGCTGTTTTATGATAGTAAAAACATTGTGTTAGAATTTTCTTCTTAATTACAGCATAATTTTATATCTACAGAATACACAGAAGAGGAAATAAGTACACATTTCACCAAAAATTCTGTTACTGGTGGCTGAATATACAGTCAACTCTTGATTATCCGGGGGTGGATTAACTGGTTTGCGGCTTAACCGGGACTACTGAGGCTTTTTTGAGGCTTATATGTTGTTTAATATTCATTCACTTTTGTTTCACATGGTGAGTTGTAACACTATTTTCGCACTAGTGTGAACCGAGCTCTGCATTCTTTGGTCCCGTTATGCTAACACATTGTTCTAGGGTAGGGGTGAAAGAATGCAAGGATTTGTGGAAAGTTTCAAGGCCAGAGACATCGCCCCGGTTAGTTTCTTTGTATCGATCTTCAAGTGCGTTAGCAAAATGTCATGGTGTAAAAGGAAGCGTGTTGTGTTAAGTATTCAACAGAAAAAGGAAAATGCCGCGAAAAAGTAAACGACAATATTACATTTTTTTAAGTGTTAAGTGTGAATATTCGTAAAAAGTGTTGGATGTTGCTGAAGACTGTGATTGAAATAACTAATTCATACTTCAGTGTAATGTAAAAAAATATTAAATAGGCCATGATATGACATAAAAATGAGGTTGAATAAATTTATATACAGGTAGGCCTATAATATTATGAAGGTACAGTATTACAGTACTACTTTTAATAAAATTTGTCTTAACCAGGTTTTTGATTAATTGTGATTTCCATCCCCACCATTATCCTGGATAATCGAGAGTTGACTGTATATGGAAATGAGAAAAATGTAAAGCTGTCCCTGTGCTTAACTAATTAAGCAATATGCATGAAGACATATGGGGGAGTGGATGTATAGATATAAATTTTCTTGACCTTGGCACTAGTCAGAAGTGAGTGGTCAGCTTCAAGCACCGGCCACTTTACCCCTGGGAAAAGAGATCCTGGCACAAACTGGATAGCAGGCTGGGTGATCCCCAGAGCCGGTCTGGACGACATGGAGAAGAGAAAAATCTTGCCCCTACTGGGATTCAAACTCCAACCCCTCGGTCGTCCAGCCCATAGCCAGTTGATATACTGACTATGCTATCCCGGATGCGTAGGAAATGAGTACATGTGAAAAAATAAATCGGGAGCCAATAACAAATTAGAATCATTATTCTAGCTAGCATCTGATACACATAATTCCCTCTGTATCATATAACTCACCAGCCTGTCCATAAGGATCCAGTGCCAGTTCTTCAGGAGACTTGTTCTCATGGCAAACAAACAGTAGAACATCAATCATGTGCCCCAGTTCTTCTTCTGAGAGAACTCCATCTCTGTCACTGTCAAATACCTTGAAGCAAACTGGAGAAGAAGATGATGAAGAAGAAAGCAGATTTAATTTTAATGCCTAAAATTAATGGAGAGACCAAGTTCAAATACTACACATAACCAGCTATTCCAATTAAGATACCTCTTCATTTCTTCCACTTCCCACCAGAAAGTACTGGGATAATACCTAATAAACGATTGCTTCCGTGTGTAAGTTTTGAGGTTTTTATGGCAGTGAATATTAAGACTGTGATCTTCTCGGTAGTGACACCATATAGTCTTGAAGGTGGATACAAATACAGACTTCTCTCTTCCATTGCCATGGAAAGTGAGGAATTCAATGCATTACCAATTGCAGCAAAACAGAAAGTACAAGCTTGGGGTCACCTTCAAATCACATAACATTCATACAAAATGTCATCATAATCCAACAACAGATGACATGAAATATGCACACAGACAGATATGACCTTACCCATATGCTTCTTTTAAGCGCTCTGTGAAAAGAACACATAATAATGAAATTAAAAATGAAAATAATCATGGATATAAAAGGTGATAGTGAAAGTTATGAGTAGAAACAAAATAAACATTAGTGTAATCTCACAGTAAATAACTACTTCAAAGAAAGACTTTGGGAAAATACAAACAGAGTAGGTATAACACATCATCATTAAAACAAGGGTGATTTGTTAAAAACTGTCATAAAGGTTTGTATAGGAACATGGAAAAGGGGAAAGTATCATATCTGTCAATGACTAACAATTGTACCACCCAGTCCCTACATAAATGTAATGAGAAGGTCAGAGAAAAACAGAAACCTTGATACTTAACCATATAAACAAGAAATTCGTGGAAATAAGTGCAATGAAAAAAGGTTAGAATCTCAAAACTTACACTTCTGCCTCTCTGTAAGTGGCCCTCTGCACGCTGCTGAGATTCCGCAGGCCATCTCCTTGAAGTCAATATGGTTATCACGGTTCTCATCAAAAGCTCCGAACACTCCTGGACAAACTGATAATGGAACAGGGGGACTGATGAGTGGAATTAGGGTGTCCAGATCCAATTTTCCAGTGCGTGACTGTCCCTTCAAGAGCCAGTATCGTTTCTCCAACTCCATGATATCTGTCTCTTCCACTAAATAAAGATGAATATTCAGCATCATTAAGCAGTCCATTCAGATTAACAACAAAAAAGAAATCATGTTACATCATTTAACTCTACGTCATGGCATTTAAGTTTGCTTGTCCTAACCCTAGCTGCTGATTATAGTAGTATTGGGAGTGGTAACATGGATTTAAATTTTACACTTAACAACAAAACTTTCATTTAAGGTTTCTTTTAGGATCATTGTATTTGAACACTGAACTGCAGAAAATGTCATGGGGTTCAGACCGGTTGCTAGGCAACGACCGCAAAACAAATGAGGCAACAGCCATTGCTAGGCAGCAGCCAGCGCGCAAATGGACTGGATGGGGAGCTGTTTTCTCTATGTGGTCCATGCCAATGGGATAAGTTTAGAGCTTAGTTCAGTTGTGAGACAGTTGCCGACTGGTAGTGACATGAACAGAATAGGACACTGCTGGATCCATTACCAAGCAATGTCTAGTGAATACACAGCAGACTGAAAAGACTTAGTGTGTGCTCCAGTAATTTGTCAAGTGTGGAGATAGTGATGCCACCATAATTACTTGTAGTTATGATCTGTAAGTGGTCAATAAATGCAAACTCCAATCCAAACCCCATCTACAGTCACTCATACATGTGACAATATTAAACGGAGGCAGTTCAACACTGACATTAGTTAGTTAGCTATTGGAGAGGGTGGGTTTCCCCATGCACTTAGACCTGTCTTGGTCCATTGTGCTTCCCTCTATGATAGTCTACCAGTCTCTATATCCTACAGGTACTGGTGCTTACCATCAGTCCCACCCAGCCAGCGAGATCAGCCTCTACTAGCTGAGCGGTATCTTTAATGCCTCCCCCATCTACCAGAGGTGTTAGAGACTACTGTTGGGCGGGAAACGTCCATAATTTTGCTCAGCGGCCTCCTTTGGAGACATGAGGTTCTTTTACATGCCATAAAGCTACGACACGGGACCCACGGCTTAAAGTCCCTCCCGGAGGACTTGTTCCCTGAATTTTTCCGCCCTTAAAAATTCCATGACCTCCGCCGGGTTTGAACCTGTGTACCTTGAGTCATGAGGTGGGAACATTACCCCTAGACTACGGAGGCCGCTTACACTGACATTACTGATATGGGATTATTGAGACTGAACACAAAATGAGAGAGACCCTTAAATCAAGGAACATTAAATGGTGGTTCCACTGTAAAGGCTTTTCCACTATGTTCTGCACCCACAGTCGGATGGCATGGTGGAACGCTACGTCAAGACCATCGAGGAGCACTTGCGGAAGGTCGTCTCATCGCACCAAAGGGACTGGGATGAGAGGTTACCCCTCTTTCTCCTAGCTTACAGGGCATCCACTCACGACACTACGGGCCTGACGCCTGCTGGTCTAGTGTTCGGACGAGAACTACGNACGAGTGAAAGTGTGTAATTCAGGGAGACTTGTATAGCTCCCGCGTTATTAGTGCGTGAAGACAAGTGAAGATTGTGTTAAGAGATTTTGTTGTAGGGTTTCTAAACTGTGGAAACCCGTAACTGTGTGATAAGTAATTGTAGCCGATATTTGCAGATTGTTCAATAAACCAATTAACGATCTCTACGGCGTATTCAGTAACGTAAACACGTTACAATATCAACATTGGATCATCCTCTTCTGGAATTAAAAAAAAATAATTACATTACAGTTTCTGCAGACCTTAATATTATTAAGCTAAGTTCATACACTTTACAATAAAATATTTCATTGGAATAGGTTCTTAAAACTTTTCCATCATTGTAAATATAATATGAAATTATGTCTGTTTAAATATATTTCTTCACTCGCTGTCAATTAATATCATCCCTGAAACATGGTCAGCTATTCTGTCCCAGCAGCCATGCCACACCTCACATTTTGAAGTCTGCACTTACCCTGTACTAGTATTTCATCCTGTATTTGATTTGTTTCATTCTGGTCTGTCACACTAATATTATGATAAAGTTATATAGTTCCGTCCAGTGTGACTGGTTAAGATTTTCTTATTTCAATTATTCATGCCCTTACATGTTTTGGTCTTCAGAGGGACACCTTTACATCAATACAGTTACTCGTAGAAGCCACTATTACAGTACATGTTCTAAAAGTTAAAATATATACATACAATATAAATAATATACAATTGGCTGTAAAATGTAAGTCTTTACAACTACAGCGGCTGTTCTAATACATTAAAATATCTGTAGTTAGTTTGTTAAGATTCTATTGGAATTTGTAAACCAAGCTGGTTCGTGTCGTCCCTCTTATGATTTCTTCTGATGGGGGGCGAATGTGTGCCACCTTGTCGTTCTCGAGAAGAGGGTTCTTTAATGATGTCCTGTATCTGTTTGTGGCCCGCACTTTAGATTTTACAGCCAACTGTGTATTATTTATATTGTATGTATATATTTTAACTTTTAGAACATGTACTGTAATAGTGGCTTCTAACTGTATTGATGTAAAGGTGTCCCTCTGAAGATGGTCTCTGAAGACCGAAACATGTAAGGGCATGAATAATTGACATAAGAAAATCTTAACCAGTCACACTGGACGGAACTGTTTAACTTTTTCATTTCATCCTGTCATCAACAGATGACAAGCATATGGTCTTTTGTGATATTCTTTGACCAACGAATGTATTTTATTGGTATAAATTGATGATAGTGTAAAATTAAGATAACACTGCAATAGCACGGGAGGGTTGTTATTTAAAAAAATCTTCAAAGGGTTAAACAACCCAATACCCCAAAATCAGAAGAAGAAAAAATTCAGATACTTGATTAATACCCAGATCACAACCGTAAAGATGTTCCAGAAGAGTACTGACATAATGTAATGAACTGCGAACCTTCATCAACCTTCTGTTTTAAACTTCTAAGCATATTGTCACCGCAACAAATAAATTCACGTGGGTCTTGGATTCAGCGAATCTTTATTGGACACTCACATGCTTTACAATTATCATCACTTGCACTATCACAATTACTGCTTCCACTATATCTCGGCAAATACCGCACTGCTTTCGGTGGTGGCCTTCTCAGGACTGACTCGTTATTCTAGTTCAACAATCCGTTGCTTAGGAAGTGCAGTATTTCCTGTTGTTACTCAACGACAATTCGTTACTATGATTGTCGCTGTGGGAATTCCACAGTTTCCACCTATTCATTGCTGTGAAAGTGTCCGTTTCGATTGTAGCGGTTGTTGCGGTGATGGACGTAAGCTAACGTGTAACAATATGAAGAAATTCCTCTAATTTTTATGCATGGAAGAAGAAAGACAATTAATGATATTATGTTGTCTTATTCACTACACTAGTTAGTTAGTTATTCGAGAGGGTGGGTTTCCCCATGCACTTAGACCTGTCTTGGTCCACTGTGCTTCCCTCTATGATATTCTACCAGTCTCTATATCCTACCGGTACTGGTGCTCACCATCAGTCCCACCCAGCCAGCGAGATCGGCCTCTACTAGCTGAGTGGTATCTATAATGCTTCCCCCCATCTACCAGAGGTGTTAGAGACTACTGTTGGGTGGGAAACGTCTGTAATTTTGCTCAGTGGCCTCCTTTGGAGACATGAGGTTCTTTTACGTGCCGTAAAGCTATGACATGGGACCCACGGCTTAAAGTCCCTCCCAGAGGATTTGTTCCCTGAATTTTTCCGCCCTTAAAAATTCGACGACCTCTGCCGGGTATTTGAACCCGCGTACGAGTCATGAGGTGGGAACGTTACCTCTAGACTACGGAGGCCGCTTTCACTACACTAACTACAATTGTAATATTGTTATTCTATTAAGTGTTATCTTATGATCAAAGATATATTAAAAAAGTAGTGATGGGTCCAACACTAGATAATATAAATTAACCACAGTAAGATAACAGCAAACTCTGCAATTTGTGAAATGACTATCCGCCTGATAGTGGGTCATTAGAACTAATACATGTAGTGGAATAACCCATATCAACAGGGTGTAAGTATTAGATATTGTACGGTGTTTGGAATCCAGAAGAGTCACTTCTATGGAAACGCTAGAACAGACCGTTGCCTAGGAAGTAACAATAGCGATACTGTAATCCCAACAGTGAGCCGTTGTATTGAGAACATTGAATCCCCATGGTTACGACGAATACACGGAGCGTTCCCACAGAGACAATGCAATAACAATGGGTCATTGCATAGGAATCGCGGTATCAACAAAGCAGCGTTTCCCCAGTGATAGACAACAGAAGGCACTGTATAGCAACCGCCGAGTTATAAAAGCCCAGCTTCGACAAGAGACAGTTAGTCTGGAAATAGTCACCGCGGAAGATAGACGCAGAGAGATAAAGAAGTCAGTCTTTGGATAGATGCTGAAGGATACACAAGTTAGTCTGGTATTAACCACCGAAGAAGACAGTCCTCAGGAAGATGCCACTGAAGATAGTTGGAGCTACAGAAGTATTGGCCGAGATACTGTGTAAGCAGTAACTGTAATACTGCAAGTGCTAATGGTTGTAAAGCATGTAAGTGTGAGTGTTCAATAAAGATTCACTGAATCCGAGACCCACGCACAGTTATTTGTTGCATGCCATACCCAACACGTGACAACTGGTGTCAGAATTGTTTTACGAACGTGAACACACCACAAACGAACTGAGTGCACAGAGAAATGGATTCACAGCAGATGATGGAACTCTTGCTGAAGAAAATCAGCGCTGGCCAAGAAAAAAGAGAGGAGATGCTGAAAGAATTTAGAGCCATGCAAGCAAAAGCATGAACAGACATGAACAGATGATGGCTGATTGGAAAGCCTGGGGGGAAGAGAGGACTAGCCACAAGAAGATAGTGGCCGAAACAGAAAAAGGGATGACTGCCTGCCAAGGGATGGAGGCAAAGAAAGAAGGTGTCCCCAAAGTAGACGCTGAAGTAATGCCGGTCGGGGAACCGAAGCAGAAAAGGCGTAGGGACCAAAAACTGGCCGCACAGCGCTGCTGCCAGAAAACAAAGGATTCAATGCGGGAAATTCGTGAACACCAGAAGAAATTGGCTGTCGACCACAAAAGGACAACACATCGGGCGACTGTGGCACGACTCATAATAGACATTTGTTCTGTGTAACTGGTGTTATTTAGGGGCATGCAATAGTGTAGTTGGTTGAGGCACTATGCTACAAGCTGGAAGGTTTGATTCCCAATGAGGTCATTGGATTTTATAATTGACCTAATCCTTCCAGTTGCACAATGGCCTTGGGGTAGATTCAGCCTCTAACAGAAATGAGCACCAGGAATCTTCCTGGGGCTAAAGGATGGCCAGTGTATAAGGTTGACAACCTCAACATCTGTGAGCTGACTGTCTAGAAAATATGGGAGCCTCAAACTCTCACAACCCTATGGGCCTCCATGGCCTGTTACAGGGATAGCTTTAACTAGGCATTATTATTAGTGTTATCACTAAACCTTGCAAAATGAGTACAATAATTATGACATCACAGACATATGGCGAGAAACATGTCATGCTCACAGACATGTTGTACATTCTCATATTATGCAGAAGAGAAATGCCTTAAAACCCCTCTTTTATGAGCAGTAGAAAATAGGTATGCATCACAAACTACAACTTTCTAATATACACATATTTATTGCAGTCTTTACATGTTACTCACAATGGGTAACCCCTGCCAGGGTTTGGTAGAATGTGGGTGTCTCCAATTCATTGCTGAGTGTAACAGTACATGGCTCTGAGAGCAACCATCGACTCAGAGATGTTGCATCAGGATGGGCCATCAGCCAGTCACGGAATTCTTCATATGTAGCACGGTCTCGCTACAAAATAAAAATTAATTCACCTCTACATTCATAAAACAAGAACATTAAACTACCAGACATAGTGGACACAGTCCATAATCTCATTCTGGTTATAGAAACACACATTTCAGAGATTGGTTTCACCTGTCAAATAGAAATGGGTGGTTCTGGGATGCGACAGGGTGTAGTCTGGTAGATCTTTACCAGTATTTCAGAGGAACATGCCATCTCCATTTTCAGGCCATCTACTTCATCCCACCAGTTTTATCACAGCTACTTGACTGACATCTTAATACTAAACCAGAAGGAAATAGGAGCGTGGGAAGACCAAGATTAAGATGGGAAGAATGTGTGTGGCAGGACATAAGAATTTTGGGTGTAAAGAACTGGAGGAATGTAGCATCGAATGGAGAAGAATGGCGAGCAATCCTGAGGAAGGCCAGGGCTCACAAAGGGCTGTTGTGCCAGTGATGATGATGATGATGATGATGATGACTTGACTGACATTGCATATTATATACAATGGCGCAAAACAGGTAGCAGAGGTAGCAGCTGCTAGTATTTAATCTACAAGATTATTGATCATGATCAGAAATATTCTCTGCTCTCGTCCTAAGTGTATTACACAGCCCTTCTGAAACAGCCATATAGGGGCACATCAATAACTTTTTTACATCCCAACAATTTACATCAAAATTGAATTTGAGGTAACTGTTATGAACTTAGATGTATTACAAGCACACGTGAGTGTTCTATAAGGGGCAGTCAAATGGAAACGGATCACCAGGCATAACTCACGCAGCGTGCACGTTGGTAACACTGGAATTTGCTTATGGTACAAACATCTGGTAGGGACTCGGGAAAGCAGTGACAACATGCCCTTGCACACTAGTCATTTGATTACTGTACTGGAAGTACGGTTAGCGCTGTGTGTGGTCGTCCAACTTCAGTAATGGAGGTCGGTAAAGAAGAACAGCAAAGTGTAGTGTGCTTTTTAACTGCTGAAGGAGTAGGACGACGAGAAATTCATCGCTGCATGTCTGTTGTTTATGACAAACACAGCATGTCACATTTGCATGTGCTGGCGTGGCATAAGAGATTCCGAAAGGGACGTGTGTCACTGCAACATGCTGCTCACCCAGGACAGGCTCATCGTGTCATCACTCCTGATGTTATTGCTGTGTTGGATGGTCATATCCAGGCAAACAGATCACTGTGGAAGAAATTAGTCTTTTGATGGCAATAAGTCACGGTTCCGTACACGCCATGTGTGAGAGAGAGAGAGAGAGCAGTTTCGTACACGTCATTGTGACAAAACACCTGCTCTACCGCAAAATCTGCGCACAGCAGGTTCCACATCAACTCACACAGGAACAGAAGATTCTGAGAATGGCCGTATCACTGGGTCAATTGCAATGATACCATGAGGAAGAGTATGCTTTTCTGTCCAGTACTGCCACTGGGGACGAAACTTGGTGCCACCATTTTGAACCTGAGAGCAAATGGCAGAGCCAACAGTGGAAACATATGAATTCTCCCCCNCCCCCAAAGAAATCCAAAGCCGTACACACAAGTTCCAGTAAAGTGATGATGACCTTCTTCGACTGCAAGGGCCCTCTGCTTGTTGAATTTCTCAACCATGAGGCCACAATCAGTGCACAGCGCTATGAAGACACTTTGCAGAAACTGAGACGTGCCATAAAGTCAGAACGCCCTGGAATGCTATCGAACGGCATTATCCTTCTTCATGATAATGCGCGCCCCCCCACTGCCAACTGTGAGGAGTACACTATAGATATTTCGTTGGGAAGTGCATCAACATCCCCCTTACAGCCCAGATCTCTCCCCATATGATTTTCACATTTTTGGAGACCTGAAGAGAGACATTCGTGGACATCAGTTTGCATCGGACAAAGACGTGTGTGGCTGGGTAAAGATGTGGTTCCGTAGACACCCCACAAGCCTTTTCAAGGATGGAATTGACCAACTTATCTCCCAGTGGGATAAATGTATTAACCGTTTTGGAGATTACTTTTGAGGTAAGAAATGTTCTTTAATATGTTTTGGCTTCTGACCTTTTTTCATTTGACTGCCCCTTATATTTATTACTTTACAACACTGTAATAACACTGACAATGATAAAAATAAATAAGAATGATGCCTGGTCAATGTACTAGAAATAATCTTGCACCAATGGGTTACAACAATGTGTACTTATGAACATTTTAATGTTTTCCAGTTCAGTTCATTTTAGATAGATTCTGAATATATGTTTTCATAAATGTCATTATTTCAGGTCACTGTATCTTCTCCTCTTTCAAATTTCATGAATTTGGCCCACTAGTCAGTTTTACAAACCAGAAGTAATTGTATAACACCAATCAACTGCCTACGTTATTGCTGAATCATAACCTGAAAGAGCAATTTTTTACATTACTCACCTCTGAGAAAAGACTAGCAATGGAATCAGGAACATAACCATTCTCGCAGGCCTGAAGCATACGCTGAAGTTCATCACGAACTACATAACTTCCACTTTCATTTGAGTAAAGCCCAAACAGAACTGAAAATGGTATAAAGGGTAATGTTATAACAGTTCATAATTATTATATCCATTTATACAGTAACGTGAAGCACTTACATTTTAGCTTCTCCTCCTCTCGCCCTCTAGTCAGAAGCACAAGACCACAAAGTAAGTCTTTAAGAACTATTCCCTTCTGTGTTCCTCCACAAGCACTAAAGATGTACTATAACAAAAATTGTAATTACAATTAACATTTTTACCCATGTTCTACAAATTATAACTTTTCGTTCCTACTCAATGACCTATACGAAAAGTGCAAAGTTCAAACTAACCTCAGCCACTGGTGTAGGCACTCCTTCCCCCATAACATCCTTTATAAACGACTGTTTCGTTATACAACCATTAAGAGTTGAAACTCTTTTAAATGCCTCCTTCAGTCGTTTAAGTTCTGCGTCAGTAACTGAAACACAGGCCAATATGCCACTGTTAAATAACACACCCCCTTTCATAACTCATTTAATTTATATGCATGAAAGGCACAGATGCGATGTAGTCCCAGCAGACGATTTGTCCAAGTCACTTTTAAAATACTAACCCCTTTTGACAGCTTCCTCGTATGTAATGCAACATGGTTTAGAATCCTTTGCTCCCATTGCTAATACTACAGGTCACGTTACTTCTTGTTAAGAAAAATTAACTAATTAGGACGACACATATTTCTCATGACAGCCACACACCACCATCCATCTTGGAAATCAATTTAACTACGCAACATACTGAATATTGAATTATTACTTGCTGACACAAATATCATTAACATTAATTATCCAAAACAGTAATTCAAATAATAAATTCCAATTCTTTTCACAATACTTGTTAGTACTACCAAAAAGCGATTATATTAATCTATTAATTTGATTATGCATTGACCACTGTTTAGCTCTACGAATGTCAACCCAGATGAACAAAATCGTAAAGCATATTTATCCAGGAGGATAAAAAAAATTCCAATACCCATCTTAAGATGCTTTTATTATAATGCAACTTTTCTGATTTTTATGGGCCCATTTCCATCTAGTATCGACATAAAAAATTACCGGAGATATACCTCCATGCCCCCATACATTTTCATGGGTTACGTAGGTAATCATATGGATACGCCTTGATGAACTGATGCTTAGTTACATTTTCGGGTTGCCATCCCGTTCCTTGATTTTCATTGTCATTATCTGAGGTCAATACTTTCAATTTTACAACTCTGCGACTTGGCGACACTCAAAGGAATTTTGGCAGGTGCTGTGTAGAACGGATCGCTATTTCGTTCTGATCCGTGAGCTGCGTGAGTAAAAATGGCTGGAGCAGTTACTAAGGTGTATAGGAGTCTTTTTAGAAGAACTTCAACTTTTGCCGCAACAATACTATTGGGTGCATTTTTCTTTGAACGTACGTTCGATGTAACGTCAGAATATATATTTGAATCAATCAATCGAGGGGTAAGATTTTCATGACTGTACTTGTTTGAAAAGAGAGGGTATCAGTTCTTTTTTGGTTTTAATGCATGATAATTTTTATTTACAGAAATTGTGGAAGCATATCAAACACAATTATGAGGAGTGAAGTTGATCAATGGCCGAAGTTTTCCGTGAATACCAAATAACATTGTACGAATTGTAATATAGAATAAAGGTTAATGTAGCTCTTATTATGTAATAAATCAGTAACAAAGAAATTTATTTATATAAACTATTCGGATGAAGAGCTCTATTGTCCTGGATATAATGCTGTATAGCCCGGTGAAAATTAACTGACGTCTCAAAGGAACATCGCGTCCATCTTCAGGACCAAAGAAAGACAAGGAAGTAGCCAGTATTAATCAGGTTGCCAAATATCAGCTGACATCCGAGAAGATAGAACTCTTCATAACCACCAATGGGAACCTAAAATACCACATATTCAAATGAAAGTATGCCAATGTGTAAACACAAAAACCTGGTACATTTATGTATAGATATTTTCCAAAGTTCACCATGCATCAGATGCCCCACTTTTATTATCATTCAACAATCCATACATACAGGTATTACAACCATTTGGATAAGGAAATTGTCAGTTTTACATCTAATTCTCGTGCATATCTTTACAGTATACACCGTACCACCCTAATATATGGGGTTTGTCGTCTGAATAATATTATCTAGATCTAGTTAGATATTTGTGTTTTTTTCTATAAACTCTTGTATTATTTCGAGGCTAATACATATTCTGTAATGCCCAAGAGTCTGTACCAATTTTGAGTAAATTCATCCATTCATTTGGCATTCATAATTGATACAACAGTAGTATCATTCTTGAAATCCTTTTGCCCAAGTGACTTGCCCTATATCATGTATAATGATCAATAGATATTAAGTAAATAAATAAATTAGAATTTGAGAACAACAAATAATCACTCTTGACATGGTTAACCTATAATTAAAATATAACACTATCAAACCAGATAAATAATCGAATTAGATACAACACGTAAATTGAAATGCAAGTTAACCTCTTAATTTCATGCATCCTGCTGTGTTACAATATACAACTTTATTGTTCAGTCACACCTCCTTAGTTTTTGTGTTGTGATGGAAGAATAAAGTTGTAAGTTAACCTTATGAGTTTACAGAGAGAATTTAAGAGTGTTACAGTAAATCGAGAGTCCTACATATGACCATGTCATTTACTGATCACATCAAGATACTACGAGCAACCATTTGTTACCTATTTCAATTGCTGAATAGAGGTTTTGCTATGTTTACTACTGTCCCTCTAAGAGAAACCCTTACAATGTATAGAATGGATGATCTAGTAAAATGGTATTTAAACTACCCCATTTTTGTTTGACTTATGTCCTGTGAATTTTAACCTCGTATATCAACAGTCCAGCAAAGAAATATATTTAATGACATTACCTGAGCAAGAAAAATACTAATAATGAATAAATGACAATTGATAGTCTGCTTATTAACTCCCAGACAAATTCTTTATCCCAGATATTTGAGACAGAGTAAGCAATCACTTCTAGCCTCCAGTACTAGAGAATGGTGCCATAAAATGCTCTAGTAATATTATTATACTGCATCCACAAAGAACAGTCCCATGAAGAAAGCAGTCTTCTGGGATTTGGCACCGTGTATACCACATATACATGGTGCCAAACCCCAGAAGACTGCTTTCTTCATAGTCACCGCCGTGAAAGCCTCAAATCTTACAACAGTCCCATGGATTGACTCCATCCAAATCTCCCTCAAATAGCTGTGCTTCCCCATATTCCCCATGAGTAATCTATTCAGTGTTCACAGGAATACTGATAATGATAAACTTCACTGGCAACAACTGCTTTGGGCTGAAGCACAATACAAAAGCAGCCAGAAATGTGCAAAGATCAAGAACCCCATTACTTGTGGCTTCAGTGTGGTTGTGGACACATGGATATCATTGTCAATATTATTTTTAGATGTAATTTTTTTTTATTCGCTTAGTGGGGGGTGGAGTCCAACTGGGTCCACTCGGCATGGCGGCCACTGATTGGCCTATTGTACCTGCCCCAAGTGATTATGATAATGGAGAATTTGGTGGAATGAAGATGTAAGTATACCATCTGTAATGCAACAAAGTCAAGCTTTTATAAAAGGCACTAAAATACATTTAATGCACTAGAAGTGTTTGTGAAATATTTTAAAATCTCATTAATTATATACATTCATTCCTTGTGGCTACATGTTTTGGTCACACATTGGCTATCAGGCAGCATTTGTTATTGGGGAGACCACTGCACTGTATACCTTTGTCTTCTGTGCCCTTAGGTACAGATGGACTGTTTACCAAGAATTTGTCTTCACAGGAACTTGTTTACCATCCCGTTGCCTGGCAATGCATTGACATGTCATAATATATTATGTCGATATTGATAAAACACTGATTTCACTTCAGACATACACTACAATGTAAAGGTTTTGTGGAGATGACTTTCTTTTCAAGCACTACAATAAATTGAAAAACTACTATGAAGCAGACTTATGCAGTATGAGCTAGCCTACTTGCATATCCTGAGCCCAGGTTGCTTAACTCCTGCTACATTACTGCCTTATAAGCATTCACTCAGTTGTGTTCTGTTGAAATGCCATTTATGAGATTCACATTGAAATGAGCATTCAGTTCATTTATTAAGTGATACTGGTGTGATATTACTTAACCTCAAGGAAATGTTTTGGGAGAGAATTCCTAATAGTGATTTGTGGTCAGCCCATACTTGTATGAATATGGGTGAGCTATAAAGCAAATATGTTACATTCATACCCTCAAATGAATGGAGGAAAATCGACTCTTTATTTCCCAAGGAGACTTCAATTAATGAATGTAAACTATGGAAGTGCAAGGAACAAGTGAGAAGATTTTCAGTGCCTGCTCTGGACAAGTTTTATTTATATGTTTAGGCTGCAGGTTTGTTAGTTCTACTAGCAGCCAGAATCTCCACAGGCCCACCTTGTCTGACTCTTCTGTCAGAGGTTCAATGACTGTGAGATACACCCAAAATTTTCACTATATACCTGTGCCATTCCCTCATGCCTTTGCAAAGTAACAGTACTGAAATTATTAGCATAATCAGTAACACCAAGCTTATAGAAGTATATAAAAGTTACAAAAATTCAAATATACAGGAACAGGAAGACATTAAATTATATTCTTGTTACAGCTATTGCTGACAAATTCATGAGTATTTCCTGGTGGGAAAACATCCACATCTATCACATGAAGTTTTTTTATGTAAGGGCATGTGGTAGTGTAGTGCATTGAAACACTAGGCTACAAGCCAGAAGGTTGCAAGTTCAAGTTCTGATTAGGTGGATTTTTTCAATTTACCTAATCCTTCCAAGCGCACTATGGCACTGGGGTCGACTCAGCCTCTAACAGAAATGAGGACCATGAATCTTCCAGGGGGGGGGAGTTAAAGGGCAGCCAGTGAGTAAAGCTGACAACCTTACTGCCATCTGTGAGCCAACTGTCTAGAGAAAATGTGGGAACCTCAATGTCTCACAACTGTATGGGCCTACACAGCCTGTTATTGGGATAGCTTTACCTTTTTTTATCTTTACTATAATTTGAGAGCTCTCTGTAGTGTGACAGCTGGAGTTGAAACATTTCTCTTCAAGCACTTCTTTTAATTTTAGAAATCCTCTTTCTGTTTGGCATAAAAATTTGCTCATCTGAGAGACAAGCAATGAAGTATCCCCCCCAGCATATTAGAGAATACTACCAGAACTGTACTGTAATGACTTGTATTCAATTTCATATACAAGGTCAAAGAAAAAAGATGCTTCAGTTTACATTTCATACATTAACTGAAACACTTGCAACTGATAAATAATTCCATCAATAACTTGCATGATATGCTTGGAAGAATGTGGTACTTTCAGTACAGAGAAATCTAAATGTTATCAGATGTCCCTGAAGAAAATGTCAATTTCTACAAGGCACAGGTGTTCAGTCCGGATGGGGGTTAACTACATTCAATGAATGCAATTTTGGATAACCTTAATGAGTATTTTGGCAATCCTATTATTTCAGGTTGTTTCCCTGGACGTTTTGGCTATGGACGATTTTGGCCACCATATTCTTGTTCTCGTTCTTATTCTTTTATTTCAAATTCAAGCAGATTCAGATATAGGCTGAAGAGTAGATCACAAATCATTGGATATGGAATGTG